CTTCATCGTACTTCACCGATTGAAGTACGATGAAGTGTTTTGGCTTTATTGTCAGATAGACTTATATAAAATGAACTCAAACTAATATACTTGACACACACATTAATAATAGACTTGAAATAGCTAGAAAGTTCTTGGAAATAGCTTTGACATACTCTTGGAGTACGCTGAAGTACATTGAAGTACGTAATTTTCGCTTTTTCATTCTTGAAGTGAGCCTATGTTAATGGTTTCAGTTTTAATATATATGTTGGTATTGGATATTGGATTTGGAACGTGAGAATAGTTTTGAAAAACACATAGCTAAAGATGGGAAGAAATATCAGATAAAATGAAAATACCATTTTTAATACACTACATATGAATGAATCATAGGTCGTTAACACTTCTGTAATTAACTATTTTTACTTCTGTCTAAACTCATAATTCTACTGTTTGACGTTCATGTAAAGAAAAGCAATCAATTAATATAATGCTTTATTTCGATTGTTTTCTTTCCTACAATCCGAATTCCAAATATCGCTATTAGTTTTCTTAATCAAAATAATAATGCTTTACTTTTTCAAACATCTATATGTATATATGTTGATTTCATTATGAGTATTGTATATTTACTTAATTGAAATACGATCAAGACTTCAAATCAATTGTTAAAGAGCTCTTTGTTTCTTTTTTAGCCAGTGTGACTACAAGTCCAGGAGGAGGTTCTAGAATACGTTTATTATTTGATCGTATGGATTTTTAAAAAGATCTTCTATTTAAAATTGATCTAATTCTCTGTGTTAAAGCGCATAATCCACAACAACTTTTTAATGAACTGCGGGCTAATCCAGAAGCACTTCAACGAGTTCGTCAAACGGATCCTCAATTAGCCGATACTGTAGAACAAAACGATATAGGTATGAATAGAGTTTGTTTGTTTGCTTTTTTTTTTAACAAAAATAATCAATATTATTTATTGTTTTAGATGCATTCTTGCAATATCTGATGAATCGTATGGCACCTCAATTAATGCGTCCTCCAACTGAACTTGATTTACTCGATCCAAGAATCCAGCGACGTATTGAAGAATCTATTAAGTAATATAAAAACAACATGAAATGAAAAGAAAAATTTTTTATTTTTGCTTTGTTCAGTATGGAAAATGTTCTAGACAATATGGAACATGCTTATGAATATGCACCTGAATTTTTTGGTAATATTGTTATGCTGTATATTGTAAGAGATAATTAAAAAAAAAAGACATTCTTTATTATCAATGAAAAAATTTCCTTTTAATTTAAATAGAATTGTAAAATCAATGGTAAACCTGTTAAAGCATTTGTTGATTCCGGTGCTCAAATGACAATTATGAGTAAAGCATGTGCTGAACGTTGTGGAATTATGCGTCTTCTTGATACACGTTTTAGTGGTATTGCTAAAGGTGTTGGTACACAAAGAATTCTTGGTCGTATTCATCTAGGTTAAATATCTTATGTTGTTAATGTTAATTATATCACTGAATTTATATTTATTTTTAGCACAACTTGAAGTTGAAAAACAATTTTTTGCAACATCATTAGCTGTACTTGAAGATCAATCAATTGATATGTTAATAGGACTTGATATGTTACGACGTCATCGAGTAATAGATTAAAAATTTATTTTATTCATTTGAAAACTAAAATTTTTTGTTTATTGTTAGTGTGTTATTGATTTGGATAGAAATGTTCTTCGAATTGAAAATACTGTTGAAACAAGTTTTCTATCCGAATCTGAATTACCACCAGATGCAAAATTATCCGTTCGTTCACCTGGTGCAGAAAGTCGGGATCTACCAGGAGAGTTTTTACAATCAACTGCACAATCGAGTAAATATAAAATGATTTATATTTTATTATCCATATTTTATATACTTGTACATATGAAGGTCGAAGAGCTGTTATCAATAGTAAGATCTTATGTCTTTTTTTCCTAACTTTTACAAATAAACGAACTAAAACAAAACACAATACAAATATTACTTTGCATATTTATGATCTGTCATGGTAGTTCTTTTATTTCTACTGTTTACACTAATAGATACAATAAATAATATTTTAAGAATATTCTTTATAAGAAATTAATGCTATTTGTATTTGCTTAGGTGATAATCGTGGTCAACAACGATCAAATCGACCAGCAGCAACAGCAACATCTAGTGCATCATCCCTAACACCATCGCCTTTTCCAGAGAAAGATATCAAAGAATTAACAAAGAAAGGATTCACAAGAGAAGAAGTTATAGAAGTATTAAAATTAACAAATGGAGATGTAACAAAAGCACTTGTTACGCTTATGACAAAATCTTTAGGAAAACCTAAACGAAAAAATTAATTTCAAGTTTTTAAATTGACATATTAATATGGACTTAATCAAGATATTGTTTTCTTATTCATTCATTCCTTCTTGTTTTATTTAATATCTATTATTATTTTTTGTGATATTTTCATGTGCTTTTTTTAATCTTGTGATGTTCTAAATGATATTTTTTTTTTAGTTAAAAATAAATTGATGAATATTTATCATATGTATCAGCATACAAAACAAAAATTCAATGCAAATGTGATTGTAATGTCAATAGGGAATTGTTGAGAAGCATAGTCTTTTCGTGATTTATAAATTGAATGAAGTGTTAAAGACAAAAAAAACAAGGAGTGAAAATTCGCCAAAAGGAATATTATGTATTCTTTATGTAAACTCTAAATGCTGATGATCGACTAAGCAGAACTCGATTAATGAAGCGAACAGCATCGTTGCATTCGTCAACTGATCGTACGTGTAGAGGTTTATTCTAATCAAATTAGGGTCGATAAGAAAAATAAATATTAACTATCTATTTCTTCGTTTTTCTCTTTTTCTTTTTTTTTTTCTTGGACATTCTCTCCTATTTGACTAATATTACTTGAAGCGTCTAATTCGATTAGGATGCAAAATCTACCAATAACAGAAGACAGATAGTTATCGTCTGATGAAACATGACGACAAGATAAGAATAACTTTTATTTTAGATTTACTCAACAATGATATATTAGTTCTTTTCTATTTGTTATATAGTGTTAAACTTACTACGTTATAATTGTTTGCAAATACAAAATCAATCAATGATGAATGTATAAAAAATATTCATCAATAAATTATTTATTTTTCATTGTATTTTAATATAGAATATAAAATGAAGATAAAACGAAATAAAACTATTTAACAATAGCACCCATTGTTGATACGATGTAAATATGTATATTTAAGGCAATGAACAGATGGTAGAACGAGATAGATTAAAATTTAGTTGAAATAAATCAAGCCATTCAACCAAACATTATTCAATAAAAAAAAAAGGAAGTTGAAATGAGGCAAAAGTTTAACGAGGTGACATTGAAATTGATGGTCTTTGCTGCCTTTCCCAGACATCTGCTCCACATACACAAGTCGTATAAGAATTAGGCGTACTTGAACGAGCATCTTCAAAAGTTAACGTTGATTTACGTGTGTTATTATGAGAAGTCGTTGCATTAGGATTATTAGAAATCATTGTGGTAGAAAAAATCGATTGTGGTGATGATGAAGACGAAGCAGACGATGAAAAAAATATACTTTTATTATTAGTAGTATTAAAAGATTCTGAGTTTAAATTAAAACTTGGTGAAATCGGTAGTGGTGGTAATGGTGGAGGAGATAATGGGTGAGTCGGTGGTAATTCCTCGTATGTAAATGGAGGTACCTTACGTTGTGATGATATATTCTGTATAGATGAAGTCATAGTAACATTTGAATGTTCATCATTTGGATTTGAAATTTGTTGAGACGATAATAAAGAAGCACGATTAGGCAATGATCTTTGACAACAACACGAATCTGATGTATTAGGTATGGATAAAATGTCATAATTGGGTATTAAACGTAATTCACATTCATCATTATATAGCAATTGTCGAGGTTGAGCACGAAAATATCGGCAAGCACCAAATATAATACCACTACATGCAAGAAAACTAATACATACAGCAACAAGAAAGAGAATATGTTTTAAACATTTCAAACCATATTGTTTTCGATCAGTTGTTGGTAATGGACAATCATTTGTAAAACGATATACTATTATAGCCATAACACCTGCTAATACAAATAACCATAATGAATAGAATGCAAAACGACATGATGATTGTTGTATTTTAAATAATTTTTCATTTTTTGATCTTAAACGTTCATTTAATGTCCAATAATTATATAAATGATGATGATATTGTTTTTTTATATTTGATGAATGTAGAAGTGTTGTTGTTGGTTTTTGTGTTGATAAGTCATTAATAACAATTGAATCCACCGGTGCTGGTGGATTTGAAAAAGATGATTGCATGAACAATGTTTAACAATAAAACTGAGCGATTAACAATTATCAATTATTATTAATAACATGTGGTTTTTGTTATTTAATCTTGTCAGAAAAGAAAAGGAAGAAGAAAGAAAAAGAACGAGAGAGAACGAGATTTTGTTTTATTGATACAAAGTATAACACGCTGTCAGTGCAAATCAATTGAGGGTGTGAGAGTGTAGATCCACTAAGTAGAAGCATGCATTCTTGTCTTTTAAGAAACAGAATATAAGGATGATGATAGTAAGAATTGTACGCCTAAGAGATAGGAAAAGAAACCGAAAGAGAGATAGAGAGACAAATAAAGCATTTGCATACTAATAAAAAAATAAGAAAAGACATGCAATATATAAATGACGATGACATAAATGTAAATAATCAATAAAAAATTCTATGACTATTGATGCAAATCGAATGATATGTATCAAAACTTTCCAATGATAGAAATTTAACGTCGACTTTATATTTTATTTATAAAAAACTAAACTTACTTTCGATTTTCTTATATACATATATATATCGTTACATATACATATGTATGCAGCTGGAATCTAAAGAAGAAAAAAAAATATCTTCAGTTTTCTATCAGTAAAGAAAATAACTATATGATCGATATAGGAAAAGAAGCACGTCAAGTTCTAATAATTGGGATGGTATTTGATAAAGTGCCCAAGAGTTAATTATTACTTTTATCATATTTGTCACTGGTATGTAAAGAATAGAGCAGAGACATTTAGATCATAAATAAGTACCTTTAAATAATTACCTTCATTTATTAGCAGTCTATGTATATTTACAACATATGTTCTATTTACTAACCTTTTTTTTTGCTTTTCAGATAATCAAAGGACATGTTTATTTCAAAATAGTATTCTGTCATATATATATATATCGTCTCAAGAATAAATACATCCGTAGTTAGAGATAAAGGACAGGTCATTGCAATTAATCTTCCTATAAGTAGGAAAAAAAAATTGTCAAAATTACGATAATTTTTTTCTTTTTCTCTATTTTTTAAGTCTCATATTTGACATTATCTTTCATCGAGAAAATTGTTTAAGAAGATCGATAAAGAATTTGTCGATGAATGGCGCTTGACTTATATATTATTTCTTTCTCAACTGTTAATGAAGCATTTCATGTATCTTATTTTTGCTTATTTCATAAGTTTTGAACATCATCATCATCATCATTATTTACATTTGTGTATTCTTGCTATTAATTGTAATAATATATCTTTAATGAATACTTCAACCGAAATAACAACAAATCGAATGTTATATATGAATTCATTTATCATAATTAGCTTGTGTATCTTGATTTCTATTCTTTTATGTCTATATGCTATATTTCACAATCGACAATCAATAACAATGTCATCAATAATTAAGCAAAAGATAAATACAAAATCTTTTCATGTTGATAAAAATCCATTATTCAAAAGAAAAAAGCGAGAACAAAATATATTAAGAAATGATGATAGTAGTAGCACCTGTCCAACTGCTACTATACAACAAACAAGTCCTATTTCATCGAAAACTAATAGTTCAAATATATCAAATTCATCTTTTTAATTAAAAGAAAAATATCGAACATAGACTTTACTATTTATTTAAATTTTTAAAAAAGTACTCTGATAAATAATCATCGTTAGTAGAAAGTTTTGATTTCTAATTATTTAAAAAAAGAAATTTTCCTGAAAATTTAAGAACTCAAGAAAACATATTTAATTGATAAACATTAAAAAACATTCAAAGATTTCTAATCGAACATAATTAGATAAAATATTGAATTTATTTTTATTATTTTGTAATAAACTGCTATTAATTTTTCGTTCATAGAGAATTCTCACTAAAACTATTAATCTAAAATTGACTTATCATATGCTCATATGTATGAACGAACTTGTATCTATACGACTATTATCAGATTGAAGTATCTTTTTCATTAATATAAATTTCAAATTCAAGTTTAGTTTGATGCAAATGATTATTCGAACATTTAAATTCTATAGGTTAAAAAATTCCTCTCGAGACACAATTTATGAACACCAGATTAATAAAACGCTTTATATCTGATTAGATAAATTTCCAATTACATTATCTCTTTAATAATATTATATATCCTAACATGCATATTACATGCGTGTTCGGTTTTTGTATTCATTGCAACATTGAGTCCAATTATCCATCATAACTAATTCATTGTTTCTTTCTTTGTCACTTTTTTTTTCCTCATATTAACATTATGAATTACTTGAATTTTTATCTTTTCTTTCTTTAAGTAATCGATCATTGGACTAATATTGAAGGAAAATAAACAGTTGCTATCATTCCATATAGTAAACTATAAACTGCGAAGTAGTAATGCTTTCATTATTTTCTCCTGATTATTTACAAAATAACCATCATCTGTTTTTTTCCATTAGAGCAGAGTACTTAAGTATTCGCAATATTTCTTACTTATATATAATCTTTCATTCTGTTTTAAAGATCTATTCGCAAATTCGATGCAAGGAAAATGTTTTGTATATATACATGTATACATATAAGCATTTTTCCATAGTGATCAGTACAACTTTGTATACATATATATATATATACATGTTGTATCCAAAGAAAACAAAGGTTATTCGAGCAATTATCAAGAGGCACTGTTATATGTTGTATGTGTCTGCTACTGCTCTATCTTTTTAGCACAAAAACCAACAACAACAACAAAAAAAAAAAAATAAACTTTGTACAATGATATGCAGCATGGAAAAAATTGAACTAAACTATCGTATTAAAACGACAATATTATTCTGATCATTTATTGACGATGATGGTGTATGATAATAATGAGATTTTGGATGATGATGTTGATTTTGATTTTGATTTTGATTTTGATTTTGATTAGTTTTTGTATTATTAGTTAATAATGATGATGTTGTTGTTCGAATAACATTATTTTCTTCACTCGATCGTGAATATTTTATAATAAGAAGACTTATTAAAAATAGAACCGAACCTGTAACAACAAATGTTATACCTAAAACTTTAATCATTTGTCGATTACATTTAAATGATGGTGATGCTATTGATAAATTATTTTTTATATTGTTTTCATTATTTGATGTTGTCAATGTATTACAACCATTGAAATGAATTATATAAATGAGTTGAATAGTACCAATAATAATAAATAAAATTGATAGTATAAGCATGATAATACCACATGGAAAACTACATTGAAAAAAATGATAACAATAACCACGAACAATTTCAACTCGACGTCTTTTGATTGTGTAGGGACCGAAAGCTCCTACCATAGAATGCATCATTAATCTTAGTATTGTACTATGTTATGTCGTATAAGTAAATAAGTAACGAAATAGATGAAAGTCTACACAAGAAGAAAAATTAATCTTGATGACTATTATTCTTAAAACAGCCAACAACCAAATAAATCCATCTATTTTATCTAAAACGAATCAAAACAAAAAAAGAAAAAAAAATACAAGTGGACTTTATTCATATTTTTGAATGGAAATTCTCATTAAGTATTTCATAATAAAATCAACAAGATTAATCTAATTTAATACTTTATTGAAAACTTATTCTAAAGGTAGAACTTTTTGATACTCAATTACATGAATATACGTGTGTGTATGTGTGTATGTGTACGTGTATAAGAGTGAAATCATAAATCATTAGTATGTTTCCGTCTCTTCTATTTTGCACAAATATATAAACAGCATTATAGTATTCTCCATGTATAAAGATATATCATCATTGTCATTAACTAAACAGTAGAGTCATTTGAGATGGAGAGATGTATAATTAGAATACAGTCTATTGACAAGTTCGATTATGCCTTTGTGCTGGATGTGTGCATGTATATTTTTCGGACCACAGCCACTAACTCTCAATTGATGAAAAAAAAAGGCTAATACGAGCAACGCAGAAAAAGAGCAGCAGTAGATAAGTACTTACTATAATTGTGTTGGCTTTGATTAGCTCCTGTTCGACGTGGCGACGAAAGAGACAAGAAGGCAACGAAGAGAAAAAAACAACGCGCAAGGATGACGATCGGAAACATTTGTATCATCCGGTAGGACGAGATGGAACGCACACAGAGGTAATACAGAAAGGAATAGAGCGAAATAAACATATCAATCCGAAGAGACAAGAAAAAAAAACCAGTAGACGAAGAAATCATTAATGAAACAAAAACCATTCTAGTCTATTATATGGACAAAAGGACGTCGGTCGTCAAAATCAAGTAACATCTAAATCATATTTATGACCCAAATGATCGACATTTATTTCGAATCTTGATCCACTTATGTTTCTGTCTCTCCAAATACTAGTACTATTCACCTAATTATTCTTTTCTCAATATGCCATATCGAAGATTAATTTTTCTCTTCTTCTATTTTTTCTCTACAATTTTTGATTAATATATCATTGGAATCAAGAAACAGCTATGCTCAACATATAGTAATAAACAACGAACTAATTCTAATTTGGTACTAGAATGTGACAATAAACTAGCTCACAGTATAGAATAATAACACATTCGTCATCTCCGTCGATGATGATGATGTAGTACTTTCTCGCTCTTTCATAGGATTCTTTTTTTTTGAAAAAAATAGAAGAAAATGAGAACAACGAGTATGACGATGACGAAAAAAAAACGACTGCGAGACGGCGGAGCAACAGAAAATCCAACCACGTCTCCCGCTTTGTTATAGATAGACAAACAAAATAGACAGAAAAGAGTGAGAAAAACTTCATCTCAGAATATGAAGAGACATTTACGCACGCTTCTATGTTATGAACGATGAAGAGTGGAGATGGAGGAAAGACGACGAGTATTACTACCCATTAATTTGATACGAACAACATTCTGATCGAACACTAGAGCTGTTGTTATTCAATTGCACTATGTTTTTTTTTTCTCCATTATCTACCCAATCAACCGTAATCAATTAAATCATGTAC